TGATACTACTATTAATGATGATTCTACTATTCATGAAAATGGAGAGAAAAAGGAACTTGTTGAAGAGGGTGAAGAACCTGTAAAGAAGAAGAAGAAGAAAAATAAAAGATCCAAAAGTATAGGTGAAACGGCGACGTAAATAATATTCAATTTTCTTACTTATATTATTGCTATACTTGTTATCTTATGCATACACATTCAAAGAAGTTGCATATTCATTTTACAGAATTTTGTAAAATTTCCACATAGCTTTTTATACAGTTCTCCCTTACAATTAGAAATAAATTTCATTCAATTWTTCTCTTTTAAATTAGTATGAAACTACTTATAAATTATCTTWTTAGATTCCYTTAGTTTCTTTCAKTTTTCCTATTTTATTTCATTGTAAAATGATATACTATTAGTTATTATTATCTATATATTCCAGTCGATCTTTTCTTATCCTTAGCAATATGCATTGTAAATACCTCTATGAATATTATATATTATTTTTTTCGCCATGATTTAACTGATTTTACATAGTAGTTTTTATAACTAATGACATAATATAACATTATAAAATACGGTTTTCCATAAATGTAGTTATGACAACAAATTGTAAAATATACATTTTTGTAATCCAATTATCTGGTATAAATGTTTATTTTTTTCATTACTCAACCCATTTCCAAGAAAACGTAGGAAGTAGTTTTACAGTCATTCTTATTAAAGTAGTATTTCATAAATGTAAGGAAGATTGATTGTGGTATTATGGCATAAAATAAAACGTCAATTTTTGTATTAACACCAGCACCAATGAGTATTTAATAATAACGATAAAATTGTAATGTATATATAAATACCTGAATCAATAGTTACAATTATAGGATCTATACTAATATAAATAAAAATTCAGTCAAAAATGCCTAAATTATTAATTTGTTATCAAACACATTTGTATGTTACAAACTGCACATTGCTATTTTGAATTAACATTAAAAGGAATGATACAAATAACATCATTATGCCATATTGTTAAATTTCAATTTATAGATATATTTATCCTAATGGTTAATTGTCAAAATGTTCACTTGAATGTTGATATGTACTAATATAATTTTCTAAATATTTATTATGATGGAATATAAATGAAATTTAAAAATTATATTTTTCAAATTATCCACACTATATAATTTATAAATATATGTATATATATATAATATATATATAGAGAGAGAGAGAGAGTGAGTCACGAGAGTAATATTCGTACTCGTTTTACATGTAAAAATTTTAATTAAATTAATATTTGCTCTCCTAATACAAAACTTCAAAATTAAAAAACCATTGTATATACTTTTCTTATAATAAAATATTTCTTTTAAGATAAAATTTTGATTAATTTAAAGGTACAATAATCGTAAAATATTTGTCTGTGTATAAGAATTTGGAAATATTATTATTATTATTATTATTATTATTATTATTATTATTATGAATAAAAAAATATTGTTTTAAATTGACAGTGAAGTGGTACGAATATTTCTGTGACTCACTTGTACATAAAAAAGAAAAAGAACAGAAAAATTGAAAAGATAATAAATTTCATTGCTGTAAGATTATAAATGCATAGAATTACTAATCTGTAATAAGTACATATTTGTAATGCATATTAACAAGCTATCGCTTATAAATGAAAGCATAATGATTTGGTATATATATTTGAACAAAGTAAAAACTATGACATTTAATATCCTACCTAAGTTAACATTTAAATTGAGTTTTACATTTTTAGATTTGTTATCTATTTGGAATAGACGACAGCTGTACATTACCATTCTAAAATAAAAACAAACAAAACAAAACAAACAAAAAATGATAATTATTTATTAATAATCTGGTTTTATGTTTTATAATCTAGTTTGACTCTAAAAAGGCCTCTGAAATTCTACGATACATTTAATTAATGCTTGTTATAATATTTGCATGAAGTTTTTTTTTTTTTCTTTTCATATTTATAATATTTATAATCATCATTTAATATATTTGTACAATAAATACCTTGCTATGACAAGCAAGCTCTTTAAAAATATATTCATTCCCCCTTTACATTATTCATATTTTATACTTTTATATAAAATGCTCAGATAATGGAAAAATGTAAAGGTCCATTTCGATGTATTTCCCTTTACAGCATTCAGTCTCGGATTGTGTAAAAATCTGTTGAAAATATCTCTTCGAGAGAGATTTATAATATTACATTAATTAAATCAACTTGAATATTTCAATAATTTTTGCTTTTTTTCTTTTTTTTTTTTTTTTTGTTTTTGTTCTCCTCATACATCACAATTATCGAATAATAATTGAACTAAATTCAACAATTTATTTTACACATTGAATAATTTGAATTAAAATTCATAAAACAAACTTATATATATATATATATATATATATATAGTACAATATATATGTGTATATATAATATTTCAAATTATTTATATTTGTTTATTTAAAAAAATTCAACAAACAAGAGAACCAGATATATATATATATATAAATTGAATAAACATACATTCACATTATTATAGTGTTCAACAGTCATCAGTATGCTTACTATACTGTATTTATAAAAAAACAAATATTTAAATTCATTGAGTATAAATAGTTCATGGATGTAATCATGAAAATATTGTAAAATTTATAATTCTCTGATAAGTTCAGCTGTGTCCCATTTCATACATAGATTTATGAGAACCGAAATACTATAAAAAAAAAAAAAAACATTGATTATATTAATATTTACTCAATATGTGTTTTTTTTTTTTTTTTATACAAGTCATGTATAAACATGCAAAATCAAAGTAAGCAATTTATAGAAATGTTGTTAGAAATACGATATTACATTAACAAATTTTTATTCTTCTTCTTCTTCTTATTATTATGATTATTATTATTATTATTATTAACATAGATTTTTTTGTCTTCAAACAAATTATATATAAAAAAAAAAAAAATTCTTTAAATTTTGCAACAAAAATAAGTTGAATTATTTATAATTAAAATATAATATAATTAAACATTTTTTCTTTTCACTTATAAACTTAACAATTTAATTACTAATAATTATCTTCATTGCTTAACTAGTTCATACATAAATTGTATGCACATGTATCATATATATATATATATGTATATATATTAAATATAAATGATACAGAATTATTTTTAAAAGATATGCATTATTTTCAGTAATGAATACTTAAAGAAATTTATATTATTATTATTATTATTATTTTACAAACACATTTTTTAAAACTCTGATCGTAATTATTTGAGTAAATATATATTGATACACAATAAATTGTAATTATGTGTGCATATTCTTTTTAATATCTGCAATAAATGATTGAACAAACCTAAAATATGACAATATTGAAGGTATTTCTTTTGTGCCTTTTTGTTTTTGTTTTTTTTTTTGGTTAATAATGTAACTGGTAAAATAAAGTCATCTAACTTTCTATAATCTTTTCTCTCGTTCTCTCTTTCTTTCTTTCTTTCTTTCTTTCTTTCTTTCTTTCTCACAAGCACACGTGTGTTTAGCATTTGAAAAATTATAAAATTGAAGGAATAATTTATATAATATCCTTATTACTGAAAATGTTATTATTAAGGAAGCACGCACTGTTTACGTACTATACGTCATACTACAGAAATTTGTTGTCTATAATTCTCGTTTACATAAATATTAGTTAATCATAAAGAATAATTATAAAATCGAATAATTTGTTTTTTTTTGTTTGTTTTTTTTTTTTTTTTAATACAGTTCTTTAACCATAGTAAATGCAATTACTATTTTTACTATTATGTCATTTTTTGTTTCTTTTTTTTTTTTTTTGAAGA